TCACATAGATGGAACTGGTAAAAGAAAGGAGCCAGGGGCTCCTCCCAACCCCATGGGACCCCTGAGGAACAAATCCTCTAACAACCTCAAGAGTAAAAACAAATCAGTTTATCTGGTCCAATTTTATGTCCTTAATCACCCAAAAGGGAAGTTTAACCAAAGATTAAAGGGGCCAACATAATATCATAAGAGCATACATTTATATAACTAAAAGTTACTCGACAAACAGCAAAGCCAGACAGGCGATACCTTCAGTCGATTTGTTGGCCAGGATAGATAAAGGCTCTTCCATACATTAACCCAACATACTACAGGAAAAATGAACAGCAGACCCCAATTCTATCCAAAGGATGCTGACAATGGATTTGCGTAGATGAGGAACAGCTGATCCTCCTGGAACAGGGACCTCTGGCTGACTAGATTTACCAGAAGGGCAGATAGGGGGGAATGGATGGGGGTGTTGACAATACAGTGGACAGTGGCAGGGATGGCAGAGGAGAGGTGCTGACAATGGATTTGCGTAGATGAGGAACAGCTGATCCTCCTGGAACAGGGACCTCTGGCTGACTAGATTTACCAGAAGGGCAGATAGGGGGGAATGGATGGGGGTGTTGACAATACAGTGGACAGTGGCAGGATTGGCAGAGTATGGAGGCTCTAGTGGGAGGGGAAGGCTGTCTATCTGACAAAATTGTATTCATGCTCAGATGCCGAGGAGCTCAGAACGGGGGCGACTGTGACCAGTAATAGTCATGTATATAGAGATTAGAAATGCATGTGAAAACGTCTCAATGTCAATAGGCTTGGAATGAATTTTTCTGTATGAAACTGTGTGTTTTGACAACGAAGTGGAGATCTTTTTTAAACTGAAACTGTGTGTTTTGACAATGAAGAGGAGATCTTTTTTAAACATTGGAACCTAATTTAATTTTATCTCTTAGAGAGTTTATAATGAGTATAAGATTTTATAAGTGTAATAATTCATCTGTAAACCTAGAAATGTACAGCCAATTTTGAAAGAGATGTACCCTAGCTCAGAAAAATGTTATTGAATAGGTTAATGCTGTTGTAATGAAATGCTTCTTTTAATTAAAAAAATTTTTTTTTACTGGGGCTCGAGACTTGGCTCAGTGGTTAAGAGCACTGACTGATCTTGCAGAGGACCGAAGTTCGATTCCCAGCATCCAAATGGCAGCTAACAGCTATCTGTAACTGCAGTTCCAGGGTATCCAATGCCCTCTTCTGACTTCCACTGGAATTGCATGACACAGGTGCACCTACCTACATGCAGGCAATACACTCATGGAAATTAAATAAAAATAATAAATAAAACTCAAAGAAAATATTTTATTGAGTTTTTGTGTATTTCATATACTAGTTCTTAATCAAATATAAACACTTCCCCCATCCATGCCCCCCAAAGTCCCCCACCCCACCGGATTGCATGCATTCTGTTATATATGTTAAGTCCTATCTGGTCAAGCATTTATATCCAGATGTCCTTAGGTGCAAGTTCATCGAGGCTATTCTAACTTGATGCTTCCCAACGTTACACCCATTATTCCTTTACTTTAAAATTCAGCACCAGTCAAGATCTTAGGAAAAATGCATCCATTTTCTTGGTCAACATATAACCCAAATAATCTCCATTCCAGCTCTTTATTGAGTCCTTTTTCCCTTCTAAAGCCTCATTAGCTTGCTCTCCACTGTTAAAATTACTCTTGGCCTTTTGTTCTTCCAACTCTCACCAGAGCAGCTTGTTAATCCCTGCTCTCAGCTTTTGAGGACATCCGAACCCAAATTTCAAAGTCTTACTTATTCATCCTGAATACCAATTTAAAGAACCATGTGATCAGGTTTATCACATCAATAGGGCCATTTCCTGGTACCAATTTATTATTACTTTTCTCATGATTGTGACATTAAATTAAAACTCATTTTATAAGGCAGTTTTACTTTCTGTGATTCCTAACCACCAAAAATTATTTTTGTATCAGTTAATATCAGGAGGAATTTATTAACAATTCTCTTAAACTTGTTACACTAATTTTCAATTACAAATTGGTTTATTTTTTTGTGTATGAGATTTGTCTCTTCTCAGACTTAACAAATTTTCCAGAACAACTCTAAAAGAATGTAATATAAACCATGTATATAAATCAGTGTTTCTAATGGTTTGTGGAAAAGAAGCTAAAAATAACCTGTAAAATTAATGTTCATAAAAATTTTATTAGAATGAATTACAAAATAGTTCAACACATAAAAAATATGAAAAAAAATTTCCAATTTCACTTCTAATTTTGAAATACAGAATTTATTTTAGACTAACTATTGGGTGACCCAGGTGTGCCCTGCTTGGCGGGGAACCTCACTCTTTTGAAGGATGACAATACCGATGGTGACAAAGTCTTGGACCCTGGGACTTGGGTCTTTTGAATAAGTTATTTATTTCAAAATTCACATGGTTTTTATACATCCCAAGGAACTGACAGTCATGTGGGATATGACAGTCACATACAAAGACTTAGGATACAAAGAAGCAGAACATATAGTCTGTTAGTTGGCACCAGAAGGATGCTTAAACTTTTACTCAAGGTTATCAATGCCCATCTGGTAACATATTGGCCATTGTGTTTTCTTTCTTCGAGTTAAAAGCATGGTAAACTTTTAGCTTTTAGCTAAGGAGTAAACCTTTAACCTGGCCTAATCTCTTGGCCAAGGATAGCTGAGTTATTTGTTTAGGACAGGGAGATGAGCTAAGGGTTGTTGACCAAGACACTTTCCCCACAGAGCAGGGATCCTGCAGTTATGACCAGGTCACTTTCTCCTGCCTGTCTTAAAGTGTTCTTCAAGACAGGGATTATCAGAGCTACTGTTTTCAATGCCCCTCCCTTTAGCAGAGAATGCAGCCTGGAATTCAAAGCTTTAGACTCATCTCACCCTAGGGCCTGGCATCCTGATTTCCTACAACTTACAACACATCTCTGTTCAGAATAACAGCTTTTATAGAGTGCAATTGTCAATTCTTGTTGTAGCTATCATATTAAAAAACGCAGCCTCAGTATTCTAGGAGAAGTTTTGATGTAATAAAGAGAAAACTGGTTTATAATCAGACCTATTATCAAATTCTGCCTTTGTAATTTTTCAAAAACTTTTTTGAAAGATTCATTTATTTTTTTTGTGTGTTTGAGCTCTTACCTGCATGTACGTAAGTGCATCTGTGAGACCTTCTGGCAGAGGCTGGAAGAGGGCATTGGATTCCTTGAAAACTGTAGTTTTGGGTGGTTGTTAGATGTCATGTGGGTGCTGGGAACCGAAGCTGGGCTCCTTGTAAGAGCAGACAGTGCTCCTAACTGTTGAGTCATCTCTCCAACCCCTGCCTTTATAATTTATGACATGAGCTTGGCTGATTTATTCAGTTCCTCTGGGCCTTAATTTCTTTATGTGAAGAGGTTTTACAAAGATGAGAATTAAGTGTATAACCCAATTTCTGATGTATTTCTCACTCATGTAATAGAATGAGAGCATAACTCATGTCAATGTCCTGGACAAAGTCTGGAATTCAGAGTTCTGAATTATAGCTGTTTATTGAGCACATAAGACACCACACTGATTATGAATTATATATTGCCTCTAATAGCCTCAGTGGCTCTCCTCTCCATGTTCTGAAAGGCTGGGATCTGGCCTACCTTTTGGGCTTGGTCTCATTTTCTTCTTTCCGTCTACCACACATACTTTAATTCTGTTAACATTTTCTGTCATGCTATAAAAGTTTCTTCTGTCATCTAAGCTCTTTTCATCTGCAGGCCTTACTCTCTGCATTGATTGTTTTTGCTCTGGTCTCCAAAGCACTATTTTACTTTTCATCATTCAAATAAGAAAGTCATATCATTATATTCAAATAAGAAAGTCATATCATTATATTATTTAAAAATTATAGTAACTGCTATTTTTATATGAAATTATTTTATTGTTATTAGTATGATTGCATATTTACTTGTATATTTTCTCTTTTTTCCCCTAATAGGAAATTCTAGTAAGGAACCTGTCTGCCTTATTCATCATGCTATTCCTCATATCCTTAGGGCCTGGCAATATGACCAGAAAACAAAATTAAATAAATAAATGAAAGAAAGAAAAAAGGAAAAGGTATTGACTGTAGGAAATTTGGGGAAAAACTGCAGCGAAGCTATAAAGATAGAAGTCCCCTGTAATAGTCTCACAAGGGAAAAACTACATTTTAATTTCTTTATGAAAGTTTACCCATGCATACAAGTGTGTTTTCCCTCACTAAACACTTGTTGGCTGGATGGGGAAAGCTGTTTTCCTAGTTGTACTATAATTCTCTCTTACAGGATTTCACTAATATTAAGAAGGAAAAATATGAAATTTTTTTTCAGTATTATCTTAGTTATAAAAGAACTCTAGCTAAGGGGGAAAACTAGCACCTTCACATTGCAACATATTATTCTGGACACAGATTAATCCCATGATTTGATGGAGGGGAAAATGCATACTTTTCAAATCTTGGACATTTCAATATCATGTCATTTCATATCTTCTTTATTTGACTGTATGCAAGGGCTTTCTATGTAACGCAGGCTTGCCTTGAACTCACAATCCTCATATCTTATCCTCTCTAATTTTGGGATTTTTGCAGCTGTGTGCCTCCATGAGTGGAAGTTTCTTACATCTTAAAAAAATATTTGTAATTAAAAAATTGGGAACCAGAAGCAAGCAAGTTTCATTGATTATGTTGTTTCCATTTGGATTTGGAATTTTACAGATGTTTTCAGATAGATATCCATAGCTATTTGCATCAATTGCAATTTTCCTTGTGCAGGACATCAGAAATTAGATCTAACATTAACCACACAATGCATGTCTACAAAGGGCCTTCAGCTTATTTTGCTGTGGGATTTTCTGAATGTTCTTCACCTGTTAACATCATTATTGCCAATCTCCTTCAGATTATGAATAAACACCTTGTACTCTAAATATTTATTCGTTAACATTTATGTCATAAACTGCGCTTTTGCAGGATTATAAATAACTGCTGGACAGAACACTGACAGCGTCAAGAAAGATGAAGTTCCTTCTGCTGCTCTCACTCGTTGGACTCTGCTGGGCTCAATATGACCCCCACACTCAGTATGGCCGGACTGCTATTGTCCACCTGTTTGAGTGGCGCTGGGTTGATATTGCTGAGGAATGTGAGCGATACTTAGGTCCCAAAGGATTTGGAGGGGTCCAGGTAAATGTTATTCACAATTTAAGTTGATGAGTTTACTCAGATTATATAAAATGATCTGCTAATCAATATTAGTGAATCAGGAGCAATATTTCACTTAAACTTTCTGAGGGAAATGTTGTTCTAATTGGTTCCATTATATTTTGGTTCAGGACATCAGAGGACTTCCTGATGTGCCGTCAGTGTCCCTGGTTACAGAGCAATAGAATTGCACACACAGACTAAAAAGTAGCATTGGATCCTTGACTAGTTTCTGAAGGATTACTTTATGTAAAGTAAGCAACATTCCAGTAATCATCACAATCATTTTTATTTCTAGGTCTCTCCACCCAATGAAAATGTTGTAGTTCACAACCCTTCAAGACCCTGGTGGGAAAGATACCAACCAATTAGCTACAAAA